CTCAGTTGCAAGCTTTTACCACCCCCAACCGTTAGTGTGAATAATCCCTAACATTGCTTGTGTCACTTTAAATCTCAATCTAAGTAAAGTGAGCTTTCCCTTTGAACATGCCCTGCCTCATCATGCTAGTGTAAAGTTGTTGGTTTTTTCTAGCCTGATAAAAACACCTGCCACCAAGAAATGTAAGGGTTTGCCTACATTTGCAGTTAGGGGGCAATAAAAACAGGTATTTGAGCCAAAGTTTTACCACCAACCACCAGCCCTCATCTATGTGTAATGTATGCAGTCCACAGCGGATCACTTTTCAGTGGAATCATAATGACAGCCGAAAATGTAAACAAGTCCTGACACGTGTCACTGCACCGCAATGCATGCGTTTTTGTGCGTTATGGCACGTTGTGGCATGCTGTTTCAGGTAGATCAATGAAAACATTATCAGCGGTAAATAACAAGCAGGATTGTCCTGGTACCAACCAGATAGAGCACTACAAAGCCCAGCATACAGTACTGACTACATTGACACAGCCATTTACCACTATACTGCCTATGGTGGACAGAGCGTAATGTACAGAACACAGAACACGGCCCTGACATGTCAGAAAATATCAGAGAATATTAAAATAATATCCCATTATTATAATAGAGGCAGAACACTCACTGAGAACCAACAGAGCACAGCGGACGCTGACCAGTACAACTCCAACTGAAAGCTGCCTGTTCTGACAGAAGGGCGGGACTTCCTCATCTGACAGAGGGGCGGGACTTCCTCATCTGACAGAGGGGCGGGGCCTCATTCACACTGGCATTGACAAATCTGCTTTTCTATGTGTTATTTAGGCCATTTCTAAATGCTTAGACATTTCTGAACTGATGTGAAATGCTATAGGTGCCCAGTCACTGCTGCAATTTCAGGTGCGATTTGCGAACTGAAATAGCACCTGAATGTCAGTGTTTTAACATGCGCAATTTCTAAAGTAGTTCTTGCATTACTTTTTCTGCAGTTTTGTCGCGATTTCACATACATAGAATAGAATGGAAATCACACTGCAAATTGCAAGAAATCGTTGAAAATCTTCACAAGTAGCACTAAAGTCTTCAGAAATAGCAGCTGAAATTGTGCTGAAATTGCACACAAATTGCGAATACTTTAAATTGCAGCGGTGGGACCGATGACTAATTCACACTTTGGGGGACATTTATCAAAACTGGAGCAGACAGAATTCGGAGCAGTTGCTCATGGCAACCTGTCGGCTTCTATCTTTAGCTTGTTCTGTTTAACGGCTTCCCGACCGCCCTATAGCAGAACTACTTCTACAAGGTGGCAGGGCTGCGCAAAATCATGTATGTATACGTGATTTTGTTCTTCTGGGTAGGGGGTGTGCGCGTGCCCTACCCACACCGCCATTGGCGGCTACAGCAGTCGGTCACTGGGTCCCAGACGGAGATTCCCCGCCGACACCCAGCAACACCAAAGAACACTAACGGGAGAAAGGTCTGTATCTAAACAATACAGTGCTCTCACCTGTCAGCTCCAGCACTCTGCTTTGTATTGCTCTGCATATACAGTAAAGAGCAATACAAAGCAGCGTGCTAATACAGTAAAACACAGCACACAGTAAAACACACACATCACACAGTTAACCCTTTGATCACCCTAGATGTTAACCCCTTCATGCCCAGTCTCATTAGTACAGTGTCAGTGCTTTTTATTAGCACTGATCACTGTATTGGTGTCACTTGGGATGTCAGTGACAGTTCCCTCCCAGTGTCAGAATGCCGCAGTCAGAAAATAAGTCACTGATCGCCACCATTTTAACTTAGGGGTGTACTAACTTTTGTTGCCAGTGATTTAGAGCATGTCTGCAGACCTAAACCCTATTGAGCATCTGTGGGGCATCCTCAAACGGAAGGTAGCGGAGCGCAAGGTCTCTAACATCCACCAGCTCCATGATGTCATCATGGAGGAGTGGAAGAGGACTCCAGTGGCAACCTGTGAAGCTCTGGTAAATTCCATGCCGAGTGCTGGAAAATAATGGTGGCCACACAAAATATTGACACTTTGGGCCCAATTTAGACATTTTCACTTAGGGGTGTACTCACTTTTGTTGCCAGCGGTTTAGACATGAATGGCTGTGTGTTGAGTTATTTTGAGGGGAGAGCAAATTTACACTGTTATACAAGCTGTACACTCACTACTTTACATTGTAGCAAAGTGTCATTGCTTCAGTGTTGTCACATGAAAAGAGAAAATAAAATATTTTCAAAAATGTTAGGGGTATACTCACTTCTGTGAGATATTGTATATACTACCATTTGTAGACACTATACCTTTCACGTAAACCAATTCATTTACATGTATTGGGTTTTTTTGTTTAGTAAAGATATGTAGCAGAATACATTTTGGCCTAAATTTATGATGAAATTAAATTTTTTAAACTTTATTACTGGATATGTTGTACAGCAAAAAGTAAAAAAAAATTTTTTTTTTTTTCAAAATTGTTGGTCTTTTTTTGTTTATAGTGCACAAAATAAAAACCGCACAGGTGATCAAATACTACCAAAAGAAAGCTCTATTTGTGGGAAAAAAGGACATAGATTAAATTTGGGTTCAGCATTGCATGACCGTGCAATTGTCAGTTAAAGTAACGCAGCGCCGTATCCCCAAAAAAATGGCCTGGTCAGGAAGGGGGGTAAATCCTCTGGAAGGCAAGTGGTTAAGTATAACTAAAGGCAAAATCTTTTTTTTTTATTTTTGTTTTGGACAAAAAAATAGGGGAGAGGGATTGGAACACTTGTCAGGTTTTTATTGCTGTCTGTGCCCCCTGTTAACCACTTGCCCTCTTGAAGATGTACCACCCCCCCCCCCCCCCCCCCCCCTTCCTGACCAGGCCATTTTTTGCGTTACGGCGCTGCGCTACTTTAACTGACAATTGTGCGGTCATGCCACGCTGCACCCAAATGAAATTTACGTCCTTTTTTTCCCTTTTGAGCGCTTTCTTTTGGTGGTATTTGATCGCCTGTGCATTTTTTAAAATTTTTTGTGCTATAAAAAAAAAAAAAGACAGACAATTTTGAGAAAAACATTTTTTACTTTTTGCTATTAAACATGTCCAGTAAAAAAATTAAAAAAATCGAATTTCGTCATAAATTTAGGCTAAAATGTATTCTGCTACATGTCTTTGCTAAAAAAAAAAATCCCAATATGTGTAAATTAAATGGTTTACATGGAAGTTTTAGTGTTTACAAATGGCAAGATAGTGAATTTTTTTTTTATTATTTTTACTAGTAATGGTGGCGATAAGTGACTTATAGTGGGACTGTGGCGGACATTCTGACACTGGGGGGAACTGACTTGGTGTCACTGACATTCTTAGTCACACCAATACAGTGATCAGTGCTAAAAAAAAAAAGCACTGACACTGTACTAATGGCACTGGGCAGGAAGGGGTTAACATGAGGGGCGATCAAAAGGTTAACTGTGTGCAGGGAGTATTTTACTATGGGGCAGTGTCTGTGTGATTCACTGTAAGCACACTGCTTTGGATGGCAGTGCTGTGCAGTGTGCCCGAGTTGACAGGGAGGAGAACTGTTAGTAAACAAAATAGTTTTCCTCCCCGTCGGAGATCATTGAAAATCATCGGGAGCCAGGTGAGTAATCACTGGCCGGGACCCGGTGATTGACAGCCCCTGCCGCGAACGGCGGTGTGGGTAGGGTGCGTACGCGGCTTGCATGCGTCCCCTACATGGAGATGCAAACTCATATATATATATATCATTTATAAAGGGATTTCCTCTGACTTCCTGTTTTGGTTATTGGACAGGAAGTGAAGAGAAATTTCCACAATGGGATGCAGATGGCAAAAAAAATATGACAGGAGTTATATCCCTCCCCTACTCTATCCAAAATGAAAAAAGAAAAAATTCCCTTTGGTTTTACTTTAAGATGACTGGTTGCCATGTACAGCTGCTCCAGATTCTATCTGCTCCTGCATAGTAACCAATCCGTTTCTAGCTTCAGCTTTGGCAATAAAACCTGGAAGCTGATTGGTTACTACATACAGCAATACCAGATTCTGTCTGCTGCAGTTTCAGTAAATCTCCCTCTGTATGTTTTACATTCACATAGATGGTCTGAGGCCTACAATCTGCACTAAATTCCCAGCTTTTTCCTTCACTCGTGGAGCTGCAAGTGGCATGTACATCCCGCCATAGAAGTTATTAACTGTATGCTCTTGTACTCAATGATACCCTCTTCTTTCATGCATCAGCATAAACACTAACATGCACATACAATGGATTTTCCCAAACGCAGAATTTCCATGTTTGGGGAACTCGTCATCAGTACATGCACATGTTTCCACAAAAACAGTGTATATCCAAGTACAGCCACATACAGCCATTCACTTCTATGGTCTGCTTTATGTACCACCTGCAGCTGTCCAGGCGTGTATAAAAGGTATAAAACACCAGGATTATACACTAGGGCATATTTTCACCCTCAGGGCCAGTTCACATCAGATGTAGTCCAGTGTGTTTTTTTTTTTCAAAAAAACATGGAAGTAGGTTATAGGTTCCAATGGCATAGTTCACACCAGTGCAGTGCCTTCCAGTACATTGCACTACAGTAAAAAAAAAGTAGAATAATGTTTATTTTTATTTCCCAAACAATTTAAACCACTTGCCTACTGGGTTCTTTCACCCCCTTCCTGTCCAGGCCAATTTTCAGCTTTCAGCACTGTCACACTTTAATCACTTGCCTACAGGGCACTTATACCCCCTTCCTGCCCAGGCCAATTTCCAGCTTTCAGCGCTGTCACACTTTGAATGACAATTGTGCGGTCATGCAGCACTGTACCCATATGACATTTTTATCATTTTTTTGAGACAGATAGAGCTTTGTTTTGGTGGCATTTAATCACCTCTGGGATTTTTATTTTTTTTTTAAACAAACCAAAAACCACTGAAAATGTTGAAAAAAAAATTTATTTTCTTAGTTTTTGTTATACAATTTTGTAAATAAGTGATTTTTCTCCTTCACTGATGTGTGCTAATGAGACTGCAGTGATGGGCACTGATAGGCTGCACTGATGGACACTGATAGGTGGCACTGATGAGGAGGCACTGGTAGGTTGCACTGATGGACATTGACAGGCATCACTGATGGGCACTGAAAGGCAGCACTGATACATGACACTGATATATGGCACTGATAGGAGGCACTGATAGGCAGCACTGACTGGCACTGATTGGCAGCACGACTGGCACTGTTAGGCGGCACCGACTGACACTGCTAGGCGGCACTGACTGGCACTGATAGGTGGCACTGATTGGCACTGATAGGTAGCACTGATTGGCAGCACTGATATGTGGCACTGGCTGGCACTGATGGGTGACACTGAAAGGCAGCTCAGATGGGCACTGATATGTGGCATTGATGTGCACTGGTATGCACTGATATGTGGCATTGATGTGGCACTGATGGGCACTGGCACGTGGCACTGATGGGAACTGGCACGTGGCACTGATGAGCACTGACAGGTGGCACTTCTGGGGCCACACTGATCATCAGGGCACACTGATCATCAGTGCCCTGATGATCAGTGTACATGTCCCCTCCGCGGAAAGCCGATTACCGGCTCTCCTCTCCTCTCGAGCTGTCAGCGTGACAGCTCGAGAGGAAAGAAATGCCGATAACCGGCATTTCCCTGTTTACGTGATCAGCTGTGATTGGACACAGCTGATCACATGACCGAGCCGACATCTTCGGCTCTTTCTGTGATCCGCTGTGTCCGAGGGACAGAGCGTACCGGTATTCGCTACGCTGCGCTCTCCCTGAGCCGCGCAAGAGCAGTGAGAATGGGAGGACGTCATATCAGAACGAGAGAACCACCTTGCGCCCGTCATTGTACTATAGAGTGGATGAAAGGTGGTTAATGACAGTTGCACGGTCATGCTACACTGTCCCCAAACCCAATTTAAAACATATTTTAAGACAGATAGAACTTTCTTTTGGTGTTATTTAACCACCATTGAGTTTTTTATTTTTTGCTAAAAATAACTAAAAAAGACTGAAAATTTTGAAAAAATGCGGCACAGATGGGCACTGCTAAGTGGCACTGACTGGCGGCGCTTATGGGCACTGACTGGTGGCACTGACTGGCAATGCTTATGGGCACTGACTGGTGGCACTGTTGGACACTGATTGGCAGCACTGATTGACACTCACAGTCAGCACTGATGGACACTTTTGGACACTGATGGACACTCTTGGGACTGCACTGATGGACACTGTTGAGATTGCTCTTATGGACACTGTTGAGACTGCTCTGATGGACACTGTTGGGACTACATTGATTTCCCCTTGGGGCTGCACTGATGTCCTCTTTCACAGTTGCCGGTTAGCGGCTCTCCTTTCCTCACGCTGTGACAGCATGAGGAAAGTACAGCCGATAACAAGCAACTGTGTTTACATCGTGATCAGCTGTGTCATTGGCCTCTGTGATTGGCCCGTTACTGTGATCTGTGATCGCTGTGTCCCCAGGTGGTGCTCAGGAGGTGTGGTTCTGAAAGGATGTCATATGATGCCTTCCCAGAACTGGATGACCGCGCTGTACCCATCATTCAGCTATATATATATAAAAATGGTAATTGAGCGCTGGGAACATGAATATAAAGCCGCTAGCATAAGAGGTAACCTTTGGAACCCAGTGGAAAATATAAAAGAGTATGCAGCACTACTAATAATAAAATCAGATGAAAAAATCAAATACATAAGTTGCACAATAGCATATGTAAAGATAACTCAGTTCATATTACGTGGTGAGATAAAGTGATTATGTGCACTAGATGTCATCAGTCCAGGTGTATTCGTAAGCCATCCACCAGGAAAATCATCAGCGGGAACCTTCAAAAACGGGCTCCCATGGAAATGATGAGCCCCAAAAAAAGCTTCTGATAGTGTAGTATTTCTTTAATTAGCAAGATTTCAGCATGTACAGATAAGGGATAAAACTTACATCCGGATCAGATCTGGCCACCAGGGTGTCAGTCAGGATAGCCTTGTGGTATAAGTACACAGGTCAGGAGCGCTATCCTGACTGACACCCTGGTGGCCAGATCTGATCCGGATGTAAGTTTTATCCCTTATCTCTACATGCTGAAATCTTGCTAATTAAAGAAATACTACACTATCAGAAGCTTTTTTGGGGCTCATCATTTCCATGGGAGCCCGTTTTTGAAGGTTCCTGTTGGTTTGGAGTGATGTGTGACTCCCCCGCTGATGATTTTCCTGGTGGATGGCTTACGAATACACCTGGACTGATGACATCTAGTGGCTAACCTGCAGATGACATCTTCCTGGTATCACAAGTCCAGAGCACCAGGAGCGGGTCTTAATTGCTCCACGCGCAATTTATGCGCTATCTGGTTAGTGCATTATTTGTACATTCACAAGAACACAAGAGTCACGGTTATCCCTGATCATGGATTGTTTGGACAATTGCACATAATCACTTTATCTCACCACGTAATATGGACTGAGTTATCTTTACATATGCTATTGTGCAACTTATGTATTTGATTTTTTTCATCTGATTTTATTATTAGTAGTGCTGCATACTCTTTTATATCATTCAGCTGTAGCCCGGTCGTCAAGTGGTTGCCCTAAACTATATGGCACCCTTAACGACAACAATATCAAAAACAACCTGAAAGAGAAAAGTTAAGAAAATAAAAAAAAACAAGACAAGAATATTGGAAAATAATAGGTCGCAGCCCTTTTATTGGGATTAAAATCATATAATTTAAAACCCATTTAGGGTCGGTTCACACCATGCCCGCACATGAATTGTACAGGACTGTGCTGTGCATTCCTGTGTGATTCAAACCACAAGTAAAATGCACTCCAACATAGTGTGAAATCCTTTATAAAATGTATTTAAAATGGTAAAAGCACCCACAATGACACACACTAATGCCAAATTATATTAATATTATAATTATTATATTATTATACTGTACAGTATGTGAGTGCTTTAACCATTTTAAATAAATTTTGTAAACGATTTCACACTATGTTGGACTTTGCACTTCTTTTGTATATTTAATGGATGGATGACTGTATAAGACCCTGCTTATACGGAGACATTCATGGTCCCAGGTGTCACATACCAGAGCTATTTTGGAGGAGACCCCCATGGGATATCTGTACCAAAGTGCTCCATGACCTTCCATGATTAGAGGGTCATGGCTATTCGTTAAGTGTGTATGGTGTTGTCTGGTGGAGGCCCCTCATATCTTTCCAGGCTACTGTCAACTCACCCTTGGAAGCAGTCTATTTTCCTCTGAGATTTTGGACACTTGTCTTTTCATTTTGATATTTATTTTCACATTGGGACTATTATTCCTTATTTGTTTGATCACCATCTTCTTTATATGTTATTTTAACACAATTTTTGGGTGTTGCACCACTCTCTCCTCTTCTGAACAGTAATATTGGTTATTAGTGGTTTGGTAATGGCAGCTCAAAAGCAAAGTACAGTTGCAAGAAAAAGTATGTGAACCCCTTGGGATTATGTGGAGTTTTGCATGAATTGGGCATAAAATGTGCTCTGAACGTCATCTAAGTCACAACAATAGAAGAACACAGTCTGCTGAACATAATACTATACAAACATTAGATGTTGCTATGGTTTAATTGCACATAACATGTAAACATTCACAGTGCAGGGAGGAAAAAGTATGTGAGGCCCTAGCTTAATGACTTCTCCCAGAGCTAATTGGAGCCAGGAGTGAGCCAACCTTGACTCCAATCAGTGTGATGATATTGGATGTGTTGCTGACAGCTGTCCTGCCCTTAAAAAACACACACCTGTTTTGGGTTTACTGGTTTCAAGAACCACTGTCTGATGTGAACCATGCCTCGCAGAAAAGAGCTCTCAGAAGACCTACGATCAAGAATTGTTGACTTGCATGAAGCTGGAAAGGGTTACAAAAGTATCACCAAAAGCCTTGATGTTCATGTGTCCACGGTAAGACAGACTGTCTACAAATGGAGAAAGTTTAGCACTGTTGCTACTCTCCCTAGGCGTGGCCGTCCTGTAAAAATGACTGCAAGAGCACAGCGCAGAATGCTGCATGAGGTAAAGAAGAATCCTAGAGTGTCAGCTAAAGACCTACAGAAATCTCTGGCACATTCTAACATTTTTGTTGACACATCTACAATAAGGAAAACATTAAACAAGAATGGAGTACATGGGAGGACACCACGGAGGAAGCCATTGCTGTCCAAAAAAGAATATTGCAGCACGTTTGAAGTTTGCAAAAGAGCACCTGGATGTTCCACAGCACTACTGGCAAAATATACTGTGGACAGATGAAACCAAGATTGAGTTGTTTGGGAAGAACACACAACACTATGTGTGGAGAAAAAAAGGCACAGCACACCAACATCAAAACCTCATCCCCACTGTAAAATATGGCAGAGTGAGCATCATGGTCAGGGCCTGGACGGATTGTTGTCATTGATGGGAAAATGAATTCCAGAGTTTATCAAGACATTTTGCAGGAAAACGTACAACCATCTGTCCGCCAACTGAAGCTCCACAGAGGATGGGTGATGCAACAGGAAAATGACCCAAAGCATACAAGTCATTCAACAAAACAATGGCTGCAACAGCACAGAATACGCCTTCTTGAGTGGCCCAGTCAGAGTCCTGACCTCAACCCGATTGAAATGCTGTGGCATGACTTTAAGAGAGCGATTCACACTAGACATCCCAAGAATATTGCTACACTGAAACAGTTTTGTGAAGAGGAGTGGTCCAAAATTACTCCAGATCGTTGCGCAGGTCTGATCTTCAACTACAGGAAACGTTTGGTTGAGGTTATTGCTGCCAAAGGAGTGTCAACCAGTTAAGTCCAAAGGTTCACATACTTTTTCCTCCCTGCACTGTGAATGTTTACATGTTATGTGCAATTAAACCATGGCAACATCTAATGTTTGTGTAGTATTATGTTCAGCAGACTGTGTTCTTCTATTATTGTGACTTAGATGACATTCAGAGCACATTTTATTCCCAATTCATGCAAAACTCCACGTAATCCCAAGGGGTTCACATACTTTTTCTTGCAACTGTATTGCTTTTGGAGTTCCCTCCGCATAGTTTTTGTGGACACATGCTTTGTAAGACTGAGATTGAGCTCTGCAGTCACTTTTGCAGAAGTTGTTTTCTTATTCCGGGTCATAATCCTGCACAATGTCCTTTTGTCTCCTTCTGTCAGTTGACGATGTGGACCGCGCTTATGTGTATCAAATGACGTTTTCCCAGAAACTGTAAATGCCGTCATAACCTTTGATACTGTACCTCGCAACACGACAAATAAATTGGCAACTTCAGTCACAGAGAGCTAAGGGGGGAAACCAACAATTTGCTCTCTTTGAAGCTCAGTAAGCTCTGACATGACTCCGTATTGCGAACAGCACATGCAGTGAATGACAAAGTGAGGATTCCCACCTGTTAGGTGTCTCATCACACAGCAGAAT